CTACACAGGTGTCCCTCATTTAACCTTACAACCTGCAGCAAAGATCTCTGGGCTCAGAGTGGCCACCAGCTAAGGACTCACGTTTCATTGAAGCCAGGACCTTAGGGAAATTTCTTAGGGGGCACAAGATCCTGCTCAAGGGCAGCACCTAGTGGCACATAGCAGCACTACCCACTGCAACCCCCTTTTCAATCCCACTAGTCTAGAGCAGCGCTCCTGAGGGTTCTTGGCAGATGCACTAGGTCAAATGGGCTTCTCCCTGCACAGAATAGCACAGAATCTGGGGTGGGTGGGGGGTGGCTAAGGAATCCTAGGGCTCTCTGGGGAGGGGGACACTGGGCCCATGAGCCTTTTGTAACTACCCTATATGGGCCCTAACAGTTCAAAAGGCAGCACTGGAGAAGGGAACAAGGCAGGGATTGGTGGGACAGGGCCAGGAACCGAGGCAGGGGAGGGACCCCATTGGTGGCCTTGGCCCTTCAGGAACTATGTGTCATGAGAAGCCTGCACCTGGCATTATGAGTGGAAGGAGGAGATGGCTCCACAGCCTACTGCACTGGGGAGGGCTGCAGGGTAGATGACGACTCTTTACTCCTGTCCCCAGCTGCCTGGCCCCCCGACGACCTGCCTCACCCAGTGCCCAGGGACTTCTTGGGCCTCGGGGAAGAAAGAGAGACAGTTTTTGCAGATGTTTCCTTTACTGCATCTGGGCAACGTACTTAGTTATTAGCTACATGGCCTCCTACCCCCCATACTACCTCCAGACTGGCACTTCCTCAAGGGGTAGGTAGTCTCCTCAGCTCTGGCCATGGTGCCCAGTTCAGGGGTGCCCCAGCAAGGGAGTGGGGAGAGCAGGGCTCAGAGGCCCCCTCCACCACTGATCCTGGAGGAGCCACCTCCCATCTCTGGGAGAGGGGCTGGGGTGTCCAGCAGAGGCCCCTCCAATTCTGAGCCCTGGGGCATGCAGGGGCTCTCAGAAACCCTCTCTGAGGCTATATGTGCTTGGATGGGCAGGGAGTTCCTGAAGGTGGTGACCAGGCCCTGCTCCCTGTACTCTGAATGCCCTGCAGCCCCCTAACCAGGAACATGAAGGCTGCCACCCTGCCACTGGGCCAGGTGTAAAGCATCTGTGTCCACCATGGCCAGTCCATCTTAGAGGTACCAACCCCTCGCAGAGAGTTCACAGAGTTCCAGAGATGGCACTATCCCAGAAGCCCCCACCCCAGTTGTTGTTTCGAGAATGAAAGAGAGAGAGAGAGAGGTGTGTGTGTGCAGGGGAGGCTAAGCCAGGGGAAGACAGGCTGCACAGAGGGGGCCCAGATCTACATAGTCTTCCTGGGGAGGAGCCAGCTAAGCCCCTCCCCTCAGCAGGGAATCCCTGGGCCCCCTGAGGCACATTCCAGTCCAGCCTCTTCCCACCTCAGCCCCAGCCTGGAAACTCTCTAGGGCCAGATAAGGGTGACAGAGGGGCCTGGCTCCAGGGCTATCAAGGGGACACCCACCACCAGAACCCTCTGGGCCCACCCCCCACGTGGCCCTAGCGAAGGCCACAGTCCACCCCCTGTAGCTTCTCCTGCTCCATAGCGCGCACCAGATCCTGCACAAACCGCATCTCGGAGGCCACCTGCTTGGCCAGAGCCTCGTAGCGGTTCTCAAGGCGGCTGAATCGGCGCTTGAGCCGGCTGGCTCCTAGCAGCGCACCCTTGGCCTCCTCCTGGGCCTGCCGCTGGAGTGCCTCGGTCTTGTGCAGCTCCTGCCGCAGCTGCCGTAGGTCCTGCCCAATGCTCTCGTTCTCCTCCCTGTACCAGGCCTCCTTCTCCTCGTAGATGGCCGTCAGCGCCTCAATGTCCTCATGGAAGAGCCGCCGGCTGTGTTCCAGCCCACGCAGGCCCTCCTCAGCTGCTGCCACCTCCTCCAGCACTTTGGAGAAGCGCTCGAAGTTGATGTAGGTGTTGTTGGGCGGCATGCTTGAATGTGACTTGATGGTGTACTCCTTGAGGCGGGCTGTCTTCAGGCGCCGGCGCTCCGGTTTCCGGCCACTGTCCTCCCGCCGCACATTCCGCCGCCTGATCGCCTGCAGGGGGACAGAGAACACAGCCTGGAACAGGGGGCATGCGGTGGACCACCAAGGGCCATAACCAGCCCTCTGCTTGCTTTCGTATGTAAAGTTTTTTTGGCACAAAGATGTGCCCATCTGCATACATATGGTCACGGTGCTTTCCTGCTACGAAGGCAAAACTGAGTATTAATGCCAGGGGCCACAGAGCTGAAAATATATTGAATGTCTGGCCCTTTACAGAAGGCTGCCAACTCTGGCCTAGAGGTGACACCTTCTGGAAAGTTTCTGTGGGAGGGACCCCTGCTGTGTGCACAGAGGGACCAAGGACAACAATGGATGCCTCAGTAAGATGGCTCCGATACCATCTCAGGGAGCACCCCATCCCCATTGCCCAGGCCCACCACTCTGGGGATCCTTCCTGGATGTTGAGGGCTTGTCATGCCTACTATCCCTCAGTGGAGGCAGCCCCCCTCCTCACCTTGATCCAGGAATGCTCCAGGCTCTGGGAGATAGTCATTCTCCTCCTACAAGAGCAACCCCCAACCCTGGTTAGTCATATGTGTACCATCTGCACCATCCTCCCCCCACAGAGCAGAAAGCAGGGAAAGGGTTCTCCAGGCTCTCCCTGCTTCAGCTCTGTTCTCAGCACCTTGACAAGGGCCGACTCAGATACCTGTCCCTGAGGACCTTCAACCCCCAAATTCACCCTCTAGACTGGCAGCAAGTCCCAAACTGACCTTGAAATTACACACAACCCAAAGCATCCACTCTGCTAAGTCAACCACAAGGAGACTGTCATGGCACCTTTGGAGGCACAGGCTCTGGGGTCTCCATCTCTGTGTTCCCCGAGGGGTTTTGTTAACAGGGTTGAGACCTAATGCTGGGGTCAAACAACTCAGGCACCCACAGGAGGGGCCAGGCAGGCAATAAGAATGGGCAGCACACACTGGGGGAGGGCTGCAGCCAAAGAGAGCACCTATCTGTGAATGGAGGCACTGTGCTGCCAGGACTTTGAGATCTCTTCCTTTAAAAAAAAAAAAAAAGGCAGCAATCTGAAATTTATGTGAAACCTCAATTTTAAAAGTTGGCAGCGAATTAAAAGCTTCTTAAGACACAGTGTGGGTCAACCTAAGTCATCCATTGCTATCACTGGCCCAAAGTGGAAGCCAGTTACAGAGATGTGGTGGCTTGGAGAGATGTCTTCTTGGCCACACCACCCATTCTAGGGAGACTCGTTCAGCTTTCCCTACGGGGCTGTTCCCTGACTCCTCTGCCTGGCCTGTGCTTACTTGGGGTCCTTGACAAGCAGTCGGCGGATAAAGTCCTTGGCCAGCTCGCTGGTGTTGCTAAAGTACTCCTCGTCGAAGTCATAGTTCACGGCAGAGATGTTGGTCAGGGTCTCCTGCTTGGTCTCACCCAGGAATGGGGATGCGCCACTCAAACTGGAAGACAAACATGGGGTTCAGTGTCCCCTGTGCTTGCTCCATCACCAGGCTACTGCCTGGGCTACCACCAAACTCTGAAGTGCCCACAAAGGGGCCAGACGCAGAAGGCGGACGCTGGGCCCTGACCACCCGATGCACGTATTGCCCTGGAACCTCCAACCAGCCACCCCCTGGCTGCCAACCAGAAGGCAGTAAGAAGTCACTGCCCAGCTAGAAAGGCATTAAAACCAGTGGACGAAAATCCCCTTGGAAGCTCAAAGTATCTATGTAGATGCACGGTCTCAAAGCATCTGCCCTAGAACATTTAGTGATTCCAGAGGAAAAACTAGTCACTTTCCAGGGGAATCCTGGCTGATGCCACCTAGCACATGGTCCAGGTGCACATCACTGGTGATGACACAGGTGTCGCCTGCCTTCCTGATACTCTACACTGGGTGGGCCACACCACCACCCCTGTGGGGCTCTGGGCACTTGACACTGACTTATAGTAGAAAACATGTATTTGGTCTCCAAGCTGGTCCTTGGGTACATGGCTCCCAAAAACCTTGGAGTTTCCTAAAACATTAGAGCTAATAAAGTAGGAGCATCTTTTGTTGTAATAGTCTTGTCCTCGATTCTTGAAATGGCTCCAGAGAAAAAAAATAAAAGCAGCATCGTTTGTTATTCATAACAAGCCCCTTCCAACCTTTGAGTTTATGCTAATGAGGTGACTTGAGGAAAGCACCTAAGGATAGGGGGCTGGTGGCCTGGGGAACTAGCAGTGGGACCGGAGGGTTGGAACCTCCACCCTCACCGCTGAGTCAGGGAGGGGAGAGGGGCCAGATGTTGAGCTAATCACCAATGATTGAAGATTTAATTAATTATGCCTATGTGATGGAACACTCATAAAAATCTTTAAAGTAGGGGATTCAGAGAGCTTCCTGGTGAGTGAGTGTGGCCATGTCCAGGAGGAGGGTGCACCCCAAACTCCACAGGGACAAAAGCTCCTGCACTCAGGTCCCTCCCAGCCCTTTCCTCTCCAGACCCTTCATCTGCTGTTCATCTGTATCCTTTATCATCTCCTTTGTGATAAACTGGTAAACGTAAACCAGCGTTTCCCTGAGTTCTATTAGCCACTCTAGCAAATTATTAAACCTGAGGTAGGAAACCCCCGATTTATAGTCGGTGGGTCAGAACTACAGGTGACAACCTGGACTTGCAATTGGCTTCTGTACACAGGACAGCCTTGTTGGTCTGAGTCCTTAACCTGTGCAATCTGATGATATCTCTAGAGTAGGACACAAAGCTGGTGTCACAATTGCTTGGTATGACACACAGCTGGTGTCACAATTCCTTGGTATGGGGAGAAACCTGCACACACTGGTGACCAGCAGTGCTAGAAGCATTGAGAGGAGAGTAGCATAGAAAGGAAACTGTGTTTCTTTCCAGGGCAGAAAGGCAAACCCCTTCCAATCATGAGCAAACCTCAGACCATACTGAGAGATGTTCTAAAACATCCCTGATGAGCACTCTTCAAGAGCATCTACATTCAACTTCAAGAGAACCAACATTCACATCACAGGATGCTTTTAGGAGAAGAGAGAGAGCAAGAAATTGAAAACCTATTTTATTTTATTTTTATTTTTTTAATTTTTTAAAAATATATCTTTATTGATTTCAGAGAGAGGAAAGGAGAGGGAGAGAGAGAGAGAGAAACATCAATGATGAGAGAGTCATTGATCGGCTGCAGCCCGCAACCCGGGCATGTGCCCTGATTGGGAATCGAACCCCGATCGCCTGGATCCTAGGTCGATGCTCAACCGCTGAGCCATGCCCAGCTGGGCTGAAAATCTATTTTAAAAAATAATGATGGAAAACTTCCCTAACACGCTCAAGGAAACACAGAGAGTCCCAGGAAACACAGAGAGTCCCAATCAAAATGAACCCAAAGAGGCCCACAGCAAGACACATCATAATCAAAATGCCAAAGGTTAAAGACAGAGAGAATCTTAAAAGCAGCAAGAAAAAAGCAATTAGTTACCTGCAAGGGAGCACCCATAGGACTGTCAGCTGATTTCTCAACAAAAACTTTGCAGGCCAGAAGGGAGTGGCACGAAATATTCAAAGTGATGAAAAGCAAGGACCTACAACCAAGATTACCCTACCCAGCAAAGCTATCATTTAGAATTGAAAGTCANCCTACAACCAAGATTACCCAGCAAAGCTATCATTTAGAATCAAAGAACAAATAAAGAGCTTCCCAGACAAGAAAAAGCTAAGAGAGTTTATTGTCACCAAACCATTATTACAAGAAATGCTGCCCAGCCGGGCATGGCTCAGCAGCTGAGCACTGACCTAGGATCCAGGAGATCACCGTTTGATTCCCCGTCAGGGCACATGCCCGGGTTGCGGGTTCGATCCCCAGTGCAGGGTGTGCAGGAGGCAGCTGATCAACGATGACTCTCTCATCATTGATGTTTCTATCTCTCTCTCCCTCTCCCTTCCTTTCTCTGAAATCAATAAAGATATATTTTTTTAAAAATGCTAAAATGTCTTAAGAAGAAAAAAGATAAAAAATATGAATAAAATGGCAATAAATAAATATCTATCAACAATTACTTTAAATGCAAATAGATTAAACGCTTCAATCAAATGACATATGGTGGCTGACCCTTACATATGCTGTCCACAGGAGACTTACTTCAGATTGAAAGATACACAAAGACTGAAAGTAAAGGAATGAAAAAATATATTTCATAAAAATTAAAACAAACAAACAAAGCTGGCGTAGCAATACTTACACCAGACAAAACAGGCTTTAAAATGAAGGCTATCAAATAAATAAAAATAAATAAATAAAACCAAGGCTATAACAGGAGACAAAGAAGGACTCAGCAATTCCACTTCTGGGTATTTTTCAAAAGAAGCCCACAACACTAAGTCAAAAAGACATATACATTTATATGTTTATTGCAGTATTATTTACAGAAACCAAGATATGGAAGCAACCTAAATGTCCATCAAGAGATAAATAGATAAAGAAGTGGTGCATATATACAATGAAATATGATTCAGCCATAAAAAAGAATGAAATCTTGCCATCTGCAACATGGGGACATCTACAGGGTACTGTGCTGAGTAAAGTCAGAGAAAAACAAGTGCCAGATGATTTAACTTATATGTGCAATCTAGAAAACAAACGAACAAGCAGAACAGAAACGGAATCATAGATAGAGAACATTTTGACAGTTTCCAGAAGGAAGGATGGGTGAAAAAGGTGAAGGAATCAGAAGTACAAATTGATAGTTACAGAATAGTGATGGGGATGCAAAGCACAGCAAAGGGAATATAGTCAATAATGTTGTAAGAACCATGTGTGCTGTCAGATGGGTATTAGATTTATCAGGATGATTACTTCATTGTTATATAAATATCTAATCACAAGGCTGTACACCTAAAGCTAATATAATATTGTACATCAACTGTAATTTAAAAATAAAAATATACTTTAAAAAAAAAAAAGAGCATCCAGGTTGTGACAGACAAGGAAACACAGAGGAACCATCCTAGAGAGGAAGAGACTAAACACAATGAGTGACCCTGGCGGGGTCCTGGTCCAGAAAGAGGACATGGTGGAAAAACTGGTGACATCTGAATAACTTGGGTACTTACTCTACTTATTAATGTTGTACCAGTTAATTACTCAGTGTTGACAAATGCTGTTTGTACAAGATATTCACAGGGGTACAGAGCTCTGTGCTGTTTTTGCCACTCTTCTGAGTCTAAATTTATTTTAAATTTTTTAAAAAACTGAAACTGGGGTGGAAGGAGTCAATGGGGAGAAAAAGGGACAACTGTAATATTTTGAACAAAACAAACAAACAAAAAAACTGAAGCTGTTAAAAAACCACCTTCCGCCCAGCCAGGCATGGCTCAACGGTTGAGTATAGACCTACGATCCAGGATTCCTGATCGACTCCTGGTCAGCGCACATGCTCAGGTTGGGGGCTTGATCCCCAGTGTGGGGTGTGCAGGGGGCAGCCAATCAATGACTCTCTCATCATTGATGTTTCTATCTCTCTCTCCCTCTCTCTGTGAAATCAATAAAGATATATTAAAAAACTACACAAATAAACCACTTCCAAAACCTTCAGGTCTCTGATCACTACACCCATTCAATCAGAGCACATCTGATACAGGAACAGATGAGGAACAGCCCAAACGTGGCATCCAAGGAAATGGCCTCAAGGTCAAATCCCCTTTCACACAGAGACCCCAGGGGTCCAGCTGTAGGCCAGCGGACTAAGGAGGGTTCTGGCCCTGGGTCCCACATGTTGCATGTTACCTCTAAGGACGGTGTCGTGTTTTCTGAACATTCCAGAAGCCCCTGAAACAGGTACCACACCTTCTCTCCTGCACAAATTCATTCAATCACTCACTCATTCATTCATCCATCCACTCAGAGTTTGCTGAGCACCTTGACAGGTCAGAGTGCTAGGGATCCCACACTCTTGGTCACTGTCCCTGTATAAAAGCCTCCCTGATCCTCTTTCTGAACAATCAGGGCACTAGGAAAGGCAGCAGAAAGTGCCGATTGGATACTCACAGGATGTAGGTGATGACACCAATGCTCCTAGAAGAGAACACATGAGAAGAGAAAGGTCACCTCAGCTGCAGAGTGCAGCACCCTGACTCACAGAGTTTCTATGGGGCGGGGCCCAGAGACAACATGGAGAAGCTACAAGCCAAAGGCTCTTTGGCCAGGTGGGCAACAGGTCTGTCAGCCCACAGGTCTGCCAGCTCTGCTCCCCTTCTCCTGCCCTGGGGTCTCAGGACTGGGTATTTAAACACCTGTGGCTACATCTTCCTGTCAAGGCTCAAAGGGGCCACAGTGGGGGTGGGGCAAACATCACCATGGCCTCACAGACCCTGCAGATCTGGGACCCACTATAGGGCCAGCAGGACTGGCAAACTATTTTTATAGAGGGTCAGACTGAATATTTCAGGTTTTATGGGCTACTAACAGTGTGTCACATATTTGTCTGCTTTGTTTTTAACACCCCTTTAAAAAAAGAAACCACCACTCCAAGCTCCTAGGCGTTCTCTAGCCGGTGGGCTGCAGTTTGCTGACCCCTATTTTAAAGCAATGGTCTGTCCTGCCCATGCCCCACAGCACCAAGACCATGGGATGGGCTTTACCCCAGCCTGCAGCTCCTGGGGATGAGCAGGGGAGATTCCCTGAGGAGTGGTCCCAGGTGTGTATGCTAGACTCAGGGTTGGGCAGCCCTGGGTCCCGAAAGCTACCCCTGACTCACCACATGTCCGCCTCCAGACCTAGGGGTTCATAGTTGACAATCTCGGGAGCTGCGGGGACAGGGAGACAAAAGGTGCAGGGTAAGGAGCTAGTTGCATCTAAGGCCACACTAGGCACTTAGCCAAAGGCAGTGATATAATTTCCCCCAACACCTGAAGGTAAACGTGTGGTCACTTGGGGAAAACGCACAAACACACAGGCAAGGCCAGCTCTGGAACAGGAAGGCTGGGATGGTGACGGCACCAACCCAAGGTCTTGAGCTTCCCTCTGCCCGATGCCAGGGTACCTGAGGGCAGTGAATCAGGCATCCAGAGGCCAGGCCTGACTCACTCTATAATTCTGGAAATCCTTGAATGCCCCCTACCCAAGCCCAGGCCCCTGAAGCACCAGGCAGGACCTTACCCACAAACTCTGGGGTGCCAAAGATGTTTTTGAACTCATTCCCGGCTTCAATCTTGTGAGCGATGCCAAAGTCAATGAGCTTGATCCGTGGGTTGGGCACATTCTTATCCAGGAGCATGATGTTTTCTGGCTGAGGCAGGGAAGGGAAAGCAGGGCAGTGGGAGGAGGATCTACTGCTTCTGCTGGCCTGGCATTTCTGGGACCAGCACCTGAAATTTCCCTAGGCACCCCCCACTCCCAGCCTGTGGGGTATGGGCAGGCTGATGCCACCCAACGGCCCAGGCCTGAGCAGGTCCATCTCCTCGACTCCCAGAGCATCAACAGGTCCAGGGAGTGTCCATTCTGTGGCCAAGAACCCCCTCTCAGGCCCTCATCCTCACCTGCACCAGCCAGCCTGACTGGTCCAGGGGTTCCCAGTGGGGCTTACCTTAAGGTCAAAGTGGGCAATGCGCTTGGAGTGTAGGTAGTGGACACCATCCAGGATCTGTTTAAGGAACTGAGTGGCCTCGTCCTCCGTCAGCGACTCCTTCTCAGCCAGGAAATCAAAGAGTTCCCCACCGGAGACCAGCTCCAGGATCAGCACCACGTCAGTCTTGTTCTCAAAGATGTCATGTAGTGTGATGATGTTGGGGTGCCGGATCTCACGCAGGATGTTCACCTCCCGCTCAATCTCCTCCCGGCTGACTCCCCGTCGGCTGGATGAGAGGCGGCGCTTCTTGATGAACTTGGCTGCGTACTCCTTCCCAGTGCCCTTCTGCCGGCATTTCCTCACAATTGCAAACTGGCCACTGTAGGGACGGGGGGAGAGGTGATCAGAGTATCAAGAAGGACCTAGGCCTGCCACCATCTCCTGGGGCAGTGTTCTTCCAGCTCCTGGCACCATGTAGATGCATGTCCCCACTGCATCCAAGATGTACCCAGTGGGTATGCTGCTATATGAGTGTGAAGCACACATGACACAATGGCTGCCTGGCATTTGTCCAACAGAGAAAAAATAAAAACAGCTCAATGTTTACCAAGAGGGAACTAAAATCCATCATGGAAATAAGTCTGGTGGAATTTTATACCATCATGAAAAAGAATGAAGGCAACTCTCTAAGCTCAGTGAAAAAAACAAGCTGCAGAATGAGATCTTTTTGTATATATTGTATCCTATGTAGATATATTTATGTACCTATATGTAGGGGGGAAACTCTGAAAGACACATGCCAAGCTGTTAACAATAGCCATCTCTGAGGACTGGGGCTGAGGACCTAAGGGCAACACAGAGGGGTTCTTTTAAAATATGTATATCTTTATTGATTTCAGGCAGAGGAAGGGAGAGGGAGAGAGAAAGAAACATCAATAATGAGTCATTGATTGGCTGCCTCCTGCCCACCCCCTAGAGGGATCGAGCCCGGAACCCAGGCGCGTGCCCTGACAGGGAACCAAACCTCAATCTCCTGGATCATAGATTGTTACTCAACCGCTGAGCCATGCCGCCCAGGCACAAAGGGGTTATTTATTTTATTTGATACAATTCCATACTGATTCAACTTTTCAGTGTATTTCATCATTTTTAAAAATCTAAGAAAAAAGAAAGCCACTGGCTTCAAAAGAGCTTCTTATTCAATAGGCAGAGTGAAAGAAATGTACACGTTTTATTTTATTCTTTTTAATTTTTATTTATTGATATTTTTTTATTTTTTATTTATTTATTGATTTTAAAGAGAGAGAGGAAGGGGGAGAAAGAGAAAGAGAGAGAGAAACATTGATTTGTTGTTCAACTTATTTATGTATTCACTGATTGATTCTTGTATGTGCCTTGACGGGATCAAACCTGCAACCTTGGGATATTGGGATGACACTCTAACCAACTGACAATCCGGCCAGGGCCAAAACTGCACACACTTTTGAAACAAGAGAAGAGTGAGGATGTAGAGAAATCACAATCTTCACACACAGCTGGTGGGTATGCAAAATGGGGCAGCTGCTGTGGGAAAGTCTGGTGGTTCCTCAAACGGTTACCACAGAATTACCATCTAACCTAGTAATTACACTCCTAGGTCTTACCTAAGAGAAGTGAAAACGTGTCCACACAGAAACCTGCACATAACTGTTCATAGCAGTATGATTCCCAACAGCCAAAAGGTAGAAACAACACAAGTATCCATCCATCAACACATGAAAGGATGTGGTCCAACCACACAGGAGAACATTATGTGACCATGAAAAGGAGTGAAGAGCTATCACTTGCTACAATGTGGATGGACCTTGAAATCATGATGTTCAGTGAGAGAAGCCAGACACAAAAGGCCACACAGTGTGTGATTCCATTTATGTGAAATGTGATCAGGCAAATAAATCCAGAGACAGGAGGTGGGTTAGTGGTTGCCAGGGCTGGGAGAGGGGGATGAGGGTGACTGCTAATGGGGAGATGGATGTTCTAAAAATAGTGGTAATGACTGCAGAACCCTGTGAATATACTAAAGATTATGAAATTGTATACTTTAAATGAGTAAACTGTATGCTATGTGAATTATATCTCCAGATAGCTGTTATTTAAAAGAGAGCCCGGCTGGGCATGGCTCAGTGGTTGAGCACTGACCTAGGATCCAGGAGATCGCAGTTCGATTCCCAGTCAGGGCACATGCCCAGGTTGTGGACTCAATCCCCAGTTGGGGGAGTGCAGGAGGCAGCTGATCAATGACGACTCTCATCAGTAAATACATTAAGCTGTATGGGCCATGTGGTCTCTGTCACAATCTTTGTGTGTTCTTACAAACCTTTAAAAAAGTGAAAAAGCACCCTGACCAGTAGTGCTGCTCCGTGGTTAGAACACTGGTCCATGCACCAAAGGGTTGCAAGTTTGATTCCTGGTCAAGGGCACATCCCTGGGTTGCAGGTTCAATCCCCAGCTCCAGTTGGGGCACATGTGGGAGGAAACCAATCGAGGTGTCTCTCTCACATCAATGTTTCTCTCCCTCTCCTCCTCCCTCCCTCCCACTCTCTTGGGAAAGGATTAACCAAAAAAAAAAAAAAAAAAAAAAAAAGGTTGGTAAAGTTCAAAGTGGACAAAATTATCAATCATGGTAAGCTAAATAATGACCCCTCCAAAGATTTCCATGTCCAAATCCAGGGAACCTTTGAATGTGTCCTCACATGGCAAAAGAAACTTTGCAGGTGGAGTTAAGTTAATGACCCTGATATGGAATGACCCTGTATTACAAGGGGGAACCAGTGTCATCACAGGGTCCACAAGAAGAAGCAAGAGGGTCAGAGTCAGAGGGATGGAAGAAGTTGCACTGTTGGCTGTGATGAAGGAGGAAGGGACCTTCAGCTCAGGATGTGACGCCTCTAGAAGCCGGAAAAGGCAGGAAACAATTCTCCCTGGATCCTCCAGAGGAACCAACCCTACAAATCCATTTCAACTCCTGATTCCCAGATTTTTAAGATAATTAACGTGTGTTCTTCTAAGCCACTAATTTGTGGTAATATGTTACAGTAGCAACAAGAAAGGCAAACACGAATCTAAATGTCAGGAGCACAAATTAGACGAGGCAGGTAAAGTGTCCCTAATTAGGTCTCACCCCCATGAATCCACCACAACAGTCCCCTGGTTACCTATGCTCCTGCACCACACTTGAATGCTTTCCCCCCTCCCCTCTGCCAATATCCAAGCTAATTCCTCCAGGCCCACATTCCATCCCATGGGAATGACAGCAAATGCCAAATGTTCACCATGTGCCAGAAATACTGGGCTAAGCACTGAACATATGGCCTAATTTTCAAATACAAAGATATTTTCCTTTACCTTTATTCCAAGATGAGCTAACAAAGACAACTAAGATAGAGCTCATGGGAACAGGTAAAAAGATGCTGCTATGGCTGACTTATGTCCCCCCAAAATCCATGTGTTGAAGCCCTAATGCCCAGCACCTCAGAATATGACTATTTGGAGATGGGGTCTTTTAAAGAGGTAATTAAATGAAAATGAAAATGAGGTCACCGGGATGAGTTCTAATCCAATGACTGGTCTTCTTATAAGAAGAAATTAGGAAACACACACAGAGGGAGAAGACAGCTATCTACAAGACAAGAGGAAAGCCCTGACCAGATGGCTCAGTGGGTTGGAGCATCATCCCATACACCAAAAGACTGGGTTCGATCCCTGGTAAGGCATGTATGGGAGGCACACAATCAATGCCCCTCTCTCTCTCTCTCTCTAAAAATCAATAAAAACATACTCTTGCATGAGGATTAAAAAAAAAGACAAGGACAGACCTCAGAGGGGACCAACCCTAATGGCACCTTGATCTCAGACTTCCAGCCTCCAGAACTGGGAGATGATAAATCTCTGTTGTTTCAATCATTCTGTCTGTGGGACTTTGCAATGGCTGCCTGAGCTAATACAGATACACACACCTAAGCTGACTGATACAGATGTATGACATGGAAGCCAGAGTAGAAGTCTACAAATTCATCAACGCACAAATTAACTTATTTTCTGAGATGGTCGATGTGAACTTCGACCATCTCAGGAAATTAGAATTAGAAAGAACTCCCCCCACACACACTCAAGAAACTCGCTCCCAGTTCATTCAGCCCATGACTCCTGGGACAGGAAAACGTGGGCCTGCTTTACTTGCAGTCCCTCTCACCAGTGATTCCTGCAGATAATTCTCCAAATACAGTCAATAACTAGACTTGGGAAAGACACAGATCTGCTCAAAACTGAATTCCAGTATGATTCCCACCTCTGAAACAGAGAGCTTATCATGGTGGCCAACTTCAGAGGCGGAAAGTGAAGATCTGAAGGAGGATGGTGTTTGGGGCGTAAGGACACACTCACTTCCCAACCCACAGGGGCTTATCTTCATTTGGACATCTAATGGATCCATTACCAGGATATGGCGGTGGAGCTGGTTACCGGGTAGGCAGACATCAGATGCCCACCTCTGGTTCCAGCACACTTGGGGGCTTTGGAGCCAGTGAGGACTGGTCTCAAGATCTGAATCCTGCTTGGCCATTTACAAACTGTGTGGCCTTAGACAAGCTGCTTCCCTTTTCTCAGTCTCAGTTTATCTAAAATGGTGAAAAAAATGGCACCTGACTAGCTGGTCCTTTAGTAGATGAATGGAAATAACATAAAGACAGTAGAACTCAGTCTGGCCAGTGTAGCTCAGTTGGTTGGGCATCATCCCATGCACCAAGAGGTCACTGGTACGATTCCTGGTTGGGGCACATGCCCAGCTTTTGGGCTCGATTCCCAGTAGGGGGCGTGCAGGAGGCAGCCAATTGATGTTTCTACCAACGTTTCTGTCTCTCTCTCAAAAAAAATATTAAAAACATATTTAAAATAAAAACACAGTAGAACTCAGATGTCCAAAGGACATCTACAATTTAGACAAATTACAACACAGTCTGCACAGTGTTCTGTGCCATTATTCCTTCACTTCATGTATGTCTGAGAATGTTCTGGACCGTTACATAGAGTGGTGCTGTCCATGGTAGCAGCCACTGGCCACACCGCAGCTGTCAGGCCCATCCAAATTAAGATGTGCTGCGAGCATACAATACACACCAGATTTCAAAGGCTTCGTATAAAAAAAGTGATAAAATATTTCACTAATAACTTTATAGCAATTATAAGCAAAATGATAATAGTTTGATCTACCAGGTTAAATAAAATATATCTTTAAAATTATTAAAATTGACAGAGCTTTTAAATTTTCAAATAAATTTCAATAAATTTCCTATGTGGCTCACATTATACAAGTTGCCTGGCTCTTTTTTTTTAATCCTCACCAAAGGACATGTTCATTGATTTTTAGGGAAAGGGGAAGGGCTAGGGATTGAACCCGCAACCTACGTACATGCCCTGACCGGGAACTGAACCCAAGACCTTTCAGTGTATGAATGATGCTCCAACCAACTGAGCCACACTGACCAGGGCTGCCTGGTTCTTTTAATGGCTGTATAATATTCCACCCACAGGTGCAAGGTGCTGTGATAGCCACTGAAGAGGCTCCCCATCTTCTGCTCATATAAAATCTTTATAGCAACTATCCCTGTTCCTAGGTCATTGGCTGCAAGTATGTACATATTACTGAATTAACTCCTAGCAGTGGAATCAGTGAGTTAAAGGAAATATACATATGACATTTTGCTGATTTCTGCCAAACTACCCTCAACAGGAGATCCTCATATATTTTCAACAATAAAGTTTGAGATGGGGTGGGCAGTGAAGGGAGAGACTGCATTCGATACCACTCAAAACAGAGGAAATTCCTAAAGGAGACACTTCAGAATCCCAAAGGAGCCTGAAACACTCTCTCAGCAAAAGCCTGATGCAGGGCTCAGTTATTTACATTCCCTTCTGGTGACATCATGGGGCCTGGCCAGCAGCAAACTCACCAAATAAGGTTTCAGGCTCCGCAAGAAAAAAAAAAAAAAAAAA